GCGATCTTAGATCTTCTCTCACTCTCCATCTAACGCAGCGATCTTAGATCTTCTCTTCTCATTATGAGAGAAACAAGAATGAGCATCTCCCAAGTCGACTTGCTAGGACTAGACCTGGGTGATATATAGAAAAAATAGAGCGAACATAGGAAAAGATAAAGGAATTTAAATATTCATTTCATAGCTGCCTCCAAAAGGGTAGGTCAGTATTCTTAAATACAATGAAAGAGGGCAGCCTTACCCTAATCATTAGATCACTCATGGGAGTGAGCACATCCAATGAAATTCTGACAACTGAAAGAAATAATAGAAAAGGAATTACAAGATTATTGTGTGGCTAATGGTCTGAAAAGTATAGAAACAACCTCCAACTAGACGATGCCTTCGTTCGCGTTAAAGACAAAATCTAAGCCGCTCTTTAGGTTTGTTTGAATCACTTCCGTTCCTCATTCAATTGTTTCTGTTTGGTTGCCGAGAAAATGTTCGAACGAAGAGAAAGGGGAAACGAAAAGGTTCGAGTGTTTGGGTTTGATTGTGTTCTGAAATGTGCAAAGGCCGAGAAGGGTGGAAGAAGTTCCTAAGCTTGATTGGTGGAGGAAGTTCCTAAGCTGCGCAAATTGGGTGAAAAAAGGTTTATCAAATAATCTATTTTTAATTCAAAATTTTATGCATTTCTAATTTTTTTAATTAAGCTGGATTTTAGAAAATATATTTGATGAGATATGATTTGGTGGCTATGGGTCACCAATTGGATATGAGAATTCAATTGTTTATCTGATAGCTGGCTTTCTTTCCAATATTTTCTTTGTTTTGGAAAAGTGGTGTGGATTGAGCATATGTACCTCTATGTCTATCTATGATGCACAAGATGGTCAAAACAAGAGTGTTTCTTGTAGTACTAGACTAGAAATAAGGGTAAAGTAGAAGAACTAGAATAGGTAGACCAATTAGCATTTCCTCTTTCGTATACAATTTTAATTTTGAAATAGTTGACATCTATGGCAGATTGTATTTAAGATTAGTTGGAGAAGTTTTACACACCTGACAGTTGTATTTGTATAAAGCATGTATATGCTTATAGGTCTAGCGGCACCACATTGATTTATTGTTTCGGTTAGGAGACTATTTGGTCTATATATTCACAATAGCACTAGAGATCCACAAAGTGAGTTAAAGTTTGGTTGACTCTTTAATATACCAAGCGTTATGTGTGATTATTTTTAATTTTTTTTGGTATCTAATTTGATAGAGATACAAGCATAGCATATGCTAAAGTTGTCGTAGCATGATGACCTGCAATTCATTGTACTATTAGTTCCCTTGGTTGGCCTATGACTATTCCCTTGTTTGCCTGATACAAGAAAAAATATGTATGTAAAGAAAAATAAAAAAATAAAAAAGTATGTTGCAGTCTTCTCCCATTGAAAGTTGGTTGGAGGAAAATATTATAGATTAACTATGAGCAGCACAAGCTGGATGGAGAGGAAATTTTAAGTTTAGTGCATCTCGTGTGTGAAGTCGAATGGAAACTTATACTTATGTTAATGGTACTCATTAACTTTTAGTTTCATTGTACCCAATGGGAACCAGGAATTTTTGTAGGGGTGACTACCAATGTTATTGTTGTTGTTGCCCTAATTGAATAATCCACCGAACAGCATGTGGGCCTTATTTTAATGATATACTATTATATTCCTTTCCTTTTAAAAAAAAATATTGTTGTAAATGTGTTTTTGTCTTACTTTACTCTTTTGTGTGGGCTGAGAAAAACGAAAATATTGTTTTGTGCTAATGGGCTAACATTGAATTATAGTAGTTTGTTCATATGTTGAAGCTTAAAAAGAAAATTTTGCCCCAGGCTACAGCCCATGTGAGCCGCTTGCTAGTTCCGCCCTTGATTGTACCTTTAAGATTACACATATCCATGAAGAGTTCGAAAACCAAGTGTTGTCATTGGAGAAAATTTATGATAATGTGATACTAGAAAATCATAAATTCCACAATTAGGTTTCAGATCTGGTTCAATTCTCTATTTTAATATAATATGCGCCAATACTTGGTTTTTTTTTTCCTTTCTTTCTAAATTTCCATTACTTTGTTGTACGCAAATATAGCAATAGTTTGAAACTTAATGCATTTTAGGTTGCAGTATGGTGTCATTGGTCCCTTGGAGTTGTGTGATGGGAATGAGAATCGATGTCGTTGTCATTACACTGGAGAGAAAATAATTTCAGTTTTTGAAATTCTCCTTAATTTTCTTTATTTCATTTTGATTACTGGAACAGTACAAGAAAATAGCCCTTACCTAACATTGCTTAATTGACATTTTAAACAACCTTAGCGTGGTGTGGAAGACATATGCGATATTGTAAATATTTATTTCTCTTAAGGGTTGTATGTAACCTTTTTAGGCATATTTGATTCTCTGAAGTTTGTATTTAACCTTTGAGGCATCTTTGAAGTATCTGGTGTACCATTTTCATTTCAAAGATGACATGGTTAACTTCAATTGGTTGGATTTCAGTGATGCAGACTTGATCGGTTGAATAGATCCAGACACTGACTGCAACTCTTGCTGACCTCTTAACTTGGTAAGCTCATGTGTTAATATTTTTTTAAAACTTATTTTTTTTTCCTAATTTGGAGGTGCGATTTGTGGCTTTTTTCAACATCCGGTAAGATTTTCCTTGCTTGACTTCATTAAATAAGATCATTTTGACTTAACATTTTGTTTTAAGTGCAGCGGGCTTTCAGTGTTGGAGTTCCTTAAGAGTCAAATTGTGGAAAAGCAAACCTAATTCAACATCTGGCTTCAGCTCTTTCTTCCCTCAAAAGAATGATCTCGTTAAATAAATTAGCTTTGCTTCTATATCCAAATGAGCTTCTGCTAGGTAAGTAATAAGTCATGTTAGCACAGTCAGTCTGAGGGAGATTGATTGGTGCAATAGCATTCATGGAGAACGAAGTTCCGGGCGCTATTGCTCTGTATTTCTTCGGCAATTGATGCCTTCATAGACATATAACCACTCAATTGTATATAAAAGTGTCATCCACTATATAATGCACACAGTCGTTTTTTGATATCTTTTCTCATCTCCTACTCACTTTCTCTGCATTTGTTATAAATTTCCTCCCCACTTTTCTCCGCACGATACCGATAAGAACTACTTACTGGCAGTGTGGCACACCAAATTGGGGACAACAGATCTGCTCCCCAAAAATAGAGACCACTTGAAAAACAAAGATAGTTTTTTTTTGGGTGCAAGTTACGTTTGCCTATAAAGTTTTAGGTCACTCTCTTGAACCCAGCAAATTACCCTTTTAAGCCCACCATTAGGAGCTAAACAATGTCGTTTCATTGAGGGAACAAAGTAGCAGGAGCTAACTAGTAATTTGCTGAGCCCAAAAAATAGAAGAGAATCCCGTTAGTTTTAATTATGGCCGGGCAATTTGCCACGCAAAGGCAGCTTAGCGGAAGATGTCACAGCAGTCTTCTGACATTGTTGTCTTGTTAGTTGTTATTGGCACTGGAGAGACGCAAACACGGCTTGGAAGAAAGACTTTGGCAGTCAGCGGCCACAGTTTAAATACTGAAATTGATTTGAACCATCAATTTCGACGTCACATGGAATTTGGAATTGGTCTTTGCTTTCAGGCAAATGAAACTTCTAAGTAAATTAATGACTAGGTCTGTATTTATTATATAAATAATTTTACACGCGCTTTCAATTCTAATATTGGGTCATTGATCATTGTTTTAGAGTGTTGCTAAACGAACCCTAAACTTAACTGAATACACCCTACGATCTAAGTACACGATAATGTTTAAATTAAAATGTAAAATTAACTAAGTACACCCTATTTAACTACCAAAAATGTCCATTGTACACCCTCTTTAATTTTTAATCTTTTAAAGTATTTAAAATAAATAAATAAAGTAAAATAATAATAAAATAATATTTTAACAAAACTCTCTCTCTCTCTCTCTCTCTCTCTCTCTCTCTCTCTCTTGCTTCTTCTTCTTCTTCTTTTTTTATCTCTCTTCTGTGCGACCACCACCACCTGGTTTGTGTTATTGATTGTTTAAGTTTTATGCATACAAAAATCAACTAGGATCAATACACTTCTCCTGGATTCCGAGTTGTATGTTAAAAATTAAGTCAATTTGTTTGAAGGCATGGGTTAAAAAGCTCAAGCAGTAAAACAAAGATTTTAATTCTTAATTAAATATATTGTCTTCAATCTTTCAAGAGAGGTGTGGGTTTTCAATCTAATTTAGAGAGATTTGGTAGTTTGGGAATTTGGGGACATCATATCTCAACTCGTCTCAGAGTGGGGTGGGTCGGGAAGGAGAGAGAGCTTTTTTTCTCTTTTTAAAATTTTATTTTATTTTTTGGTTTTAAATACTTTAAAAGATTAAAATTAAAGAATTGACCATAATTATAACAATGAACATGCGTCAAGTCTTAAGGATGGTGTACATATTGGGGTACACAATTCAATTTATCCTTTTTGATCATTTTATATTAGGGTAAATTAGTAATTCAATAAATAGTTTGATAGTAGGGTGTACTCATTTAATTTTAGGGTTTGTTTAGTAGCACTCTTGTTTTATTAAGCTTGTGGATCAATTCAATTCTAGCAAATTGCATGATGCATTGTTAGTACGAATTTGTCCGTACTTAAAAGAAACATAATCTGATGAATTGTGATTAATTTTTATTCGGAAAGAGAATGGTGAATCTGTCAATCTTAATGTTAAACTTTCTTTTTGGCGTTTTCATTGTGATGAGCTTTTTAGTTTAGTTTTTACCCTTTTATTTTTGGGTGTGCAACTTGTGTGTTGAATTATTCACGTATCAGTGAAACTAAAATCAAATATACAACTTTGACAACGGCAGCAAATGCTTTCTGAGTCAGTGACCGCCAGCGTGAGAAAAATTCAATTTTGACCCCAACGCATTCATATACAAGGACATGAGGACTTTCTATGTCTTTCGGTTTGACCTTTCCACCTACATTTGAGTTTCTTCATTTTCTTTTAGTCTTCTTACCTTGTGCAAAAACCTCTGCTCTTTTTTACACAATTCCTCCATGGATGGTGGAACTTAGAGTTCAGATTAGTCATCTTCCATGTCCCTCTCCAGAGTGCCAGTACCTCGAACAGAGACTTCAAGGCTACAACTAGAAGTGAACCTGAAATATTTTCTGCGGTCATGAATTTGGTCAACCAATGAGGTCAGGAATTCACTTCTTTCTCTCTCTCTCTCTCTCTCTCTCTCTCTCTCTCTCTCTCTCGTAATTTTGTTCCTTTGTGTTCTGGGCTTTGTCCTTTGAGTGTATCTCTCTCCTCCAAAAGGTTTCCAATTTGCATCAAATACATTCTGAATTCTAATATATATGCAAGATATATGATTTGTGACTTTCATCTTTGCTTGTAATTTGTAATGAAAGTGAAGGAAGAAGTATCTGAACAAATTACACAAAACAACATCTCTCTTTTAAATAATTTATCCCAAAAAAATAAAAAAATAAGCTGACAGAACAAACAGAAAAAGAGATAATTGGAGTCTGGTTTGGAACTGATTTTAGGCAGATTTTGGGTGTTGCCCAACAGCCATTACTGATCATATTCTCATTATAATTGCTTTACAATGCACAGGATTACTTGTTTAACTACATAGTTGGGCAGATTGGTAAAGACAATTTCTTTTATTTTTGGCCAACAATAATTCCCGTATATGAAAAAGAGAATAGACGAGTAAGAAAAGATATAATAGAAATGAAGTGGTATACAGATTTAATCTTAGGGCCCGTTTGATAACCATTTCAATTTTAGTTTTTAGTTTTTAGTTTTTAGTTTTCATTTTTTTTTGTGCTCTAGAGGAAAAGGAGGGAGAATGGAAGTGAGAATAAGAGTGGAGATGGGATTGAGAGGGAAGATGAGAAGAGAGGATGGGAGGGAGGAGTAACAAAAGTGAAAACAAAAACTAAAAATTGAAATCTATTTCAAATTGTTTTCACTTTCAAGATTTTGTTTTCACTTTTGTTACTCCTCCCTCTCATCCTCACTCCCATTCTCACTCTCATTTTCCTCTGTACTGTAGCACAAAAAATGAAAAATGAAAAATGAAAACTAATAACTAAAATTGAAATGGTTATCAAATGGGCCTTTAATATCTTTCTTTTTTTGCTGTTTGGAGGATTGCAGGTCCGGATGGCAATGGAATTGAAAGGGATTATGAATGAAATTGACTGAGATTATAGGAAACTAGTGAAACTTGGATTGGAACAGATATCTTAAGATTTCATCTGCAACTAAAAATGACCACAATGGACTTCAATATCGGAATTGAGGATGTAGGAGTGGCAGTACTACAGGAATTATGGAATAAGGTGGGATTTCAGGCCACGGGGCTCGTGAGTGAAATGAAGGATCTATTGTTTGAAAAGGACAGCTTTCTGGAGTTCTCCAGGAGTATTTCTGAGCTCAATATCCTCCTCCGTAGCTTGAATGCCCGAAAAGTTGAAAATGCACTGGGATTAGAGTCCACAAAGGCTGCACTGATAACATTGAACATACAGTTGAAGAAAGCAAGCAAGATCATCAAGGATTACAAATGTGGAAGCCGCCTCCGCCTCTTGCTTAAATCACACTCAATGCTCTTGCAGATGGAGGATGTAGCTAAAGATATTGCCAAGACTGTCTCCTCTTTTCAGCTGATCAATCTTGATATCTCCCTGAGCTTGAATACTATGACCAAACAGATCATCAACAATCTAGGATCAATGGAATTCAGGTCAGCATGTGCAACGGAATCAATTGCTTCAGAGATGGAGAATTCAATATCTCAAAATGCTAGGAATAGGGAGAATTCTCAAAAGCTTCTGGAGAAGGTTGCAGAAGCCGTTGGTGCTCGAGCGAATGCATCCTTGGTACAAACTGAGTTGGCACTCTTGAAGCAAGAGAAAGAAGACATGGAAGCTCAAAAGAAGCAGGCGGAGGCACTTCAGCTATCTCAACTGATTGACTTCCTCTACAGTACAGAAATTGTTACCAGACCAAATGATGAGGAAACCTCTACATACCACCAGCAGTATCCAATTGATTCATTCATGTGTGAACTTTGTAAAAAGATGATGGAAGACCCAGTAGCAGTTACATGTGGCCACAGCTTTGAGAGGAAGGCAATTCAGGAACACTTTGGGCGTGGAGAGAGGAACTGCCCCATCTGCAGACAGGACCTTTCATCACTAGAGCTCACGCCTAATGTTGTGCTGCGAAACTCTATTGAAGAATGGAATCAGAGAGACAAGGATTTAAAATTCCAAGCTGCAGTCCATGGAGTCAAATCCGGTGACCGCTTTAAAATGGACAAGGCTTTAGAGGACATGCAGTTTCTTTTGGAAATGCCTAGATATGCAACCAAAGCTGCAGAGGAAGGACTTGCAACAAAATTGGTAGTGATCTTAAAAGACGATACGGTAAAGTCTGTGGCAGCATTAAAATGCCTCTACTACCTAGCTAAACTTAATGAGGATCAAAAGGTAAAAGAAAACAAATGGTGTTGCTTATCCCAATTCCATTTCACTTTGTAATATATTCTACATGTAATTTAAGTGGTCTTGTTGTTTGTTTCAGGAAGCCATTGTCAGAGCAGGGGCCATTCGAAGAATTGTGAAGTATATCTACAAAGGAGGAAGTAAAAGGGATGCCATTGCAGTCTTGTTGGAGTTGTCAGCAAAGGAAACCCTTGGGGAGAAAATAGGAGATACAAAAGATTGTATTCCTCTTCTGGTTTCTTTACTCCATAAGAATAACCCTGATGTGTCACAGGAAGCTCGTAAGGTGTTGCAGAACCTCTCGTCAAACACACATTTTGTTGTCAAGATGGCTGAAGCAGGACACTTCCAACCTTTTGTTGCTCGCTTCAATGAAGGTAAATTGATATGCCCGAAAACGAAGGTAACTGATGTACTTTTCTACTGTTGCACAAGATAATCATTCCCGTGGTCTGTTTTTGCAGCACCTCAGGAGACCAGAACATTGATGGCTGCAGCCTTGATAAAGATGCAACTCAAGGAGAATAGTGTTGAAGAATTAAAGGACCGGCAATTTATACAGAGTTTACTTCAGATGCTCTCTTCGAGCTCACCAGCATGCAAATCTGCTTGCCTAAAATGTATGAAGAAACTTGTAGCACACCACAAGATTGTAAAGCGACTTCTGAAAGACCCTGCCACTGTACCACATTTGCTTGGCCTCATCTCATTTAACAAGTCTGATCCACACTTGAAACAAGAAGCTGCTGGGATTCTTGCTAACATGATTGGAGCCAGTAAACAATTTGAACAACAAAAGTATCAGGGCTTGCAAGAGCTCCAATCAAAGCACAATGTCTGTCTACTGTTGCAGCTTGTTACCAGTGCTGAAGATCAAACCAAGATTCAGTTCTTGCACCTACTGGTTGAACTGAGCTATAAATCAGAGATAGCTCGAGATATAATACGATCTGAACAGGATGCCATTGCTCACCTCTTCTCTTCCCTTTACAGCGATCCTCCTGTGGTGAAAAAATGGGCAATGAAGCTCATATATTGCATATCAGAAGGTCATACTGCTGGGGTTCCACTACCACCTTCCCCTGCAAAAGAAACTGCTATTAACACCCTGGCAACCATCCTCATTAATTCACCAGACATTGAAGAAAGGTCCACTGCTGCAGGAATTATCAGCCAGCTTCCTAGGGATGATAGTAGTATTGATGAGATACTCCGCAAATCAGAAGTACTAAAAGCCATTCATGAGGTAATTTGCAGCATGGATGAGGACAATTGGGGGAACGTAGCACCTTCCATCCAAGGGACATCTCTACTGGAGAATGCTCTAGCAGCCCTTCTGCGCTACACAGAACCAACCAAGCCTGAACTTCAGAGACAATTGGGCAAGCTTGAAGTGTACCCATCATTAGTTCGTGTCTTAACCAGGGGTAGCTCACTAGCTAAGCAGAGAACAGCCATTGCACTTGCCCAACTATCCAAGTCTACTAGTCTGTCAGTCTCTGAAGAAACCATCAGGCAAACCAAGCCATCGATGCCCCTCTTTGATCTGATTAAGCATTTCTGGTGCTTTCCAGCATCATCAGAGAATGGAAATATATGTTCTGTTCATGGTGCTGCTTGTTCACCAAGAGATACCTTCTGCCTGGTCAAGGCAGACGCGGTGAGGCCATTGGTGCGGACTTTGAGTAACACAGAATCTGGTGTGGCAGAGGCTGCTCTGATGGCACTTGAAACATTGCTGACAGACAACAGCACACTATCACATGCAACTGCTGCCATTGTGGACAACCAGGGTGTGGTGGCCATTCTGCAAGTCTTGGACAGAGGATCTTTATCTGCCAAAACCAAAGCCTTAGACCTCTTTCAGAAGATCCTGGTTCATACAACGATCAGTGATACATTAAAGCAGAGGTTCGAGAGGATCCTTATCCAACTCCTCCATGATGATGAGCTTAAGAAAAAAGCAGCTTTGGTGCTTAGGCAGATGGAAATCATCCCGGAGCAATCCTCATACTTCTAAAGATGTATAATGATATTGTATATGTGATCCATTTGCCATTTTTGCATTGTGCAGAAACTGCACCACATTAGATCTAGTTTTGAAGATGATAGCATACAATTCTCAAAGCGCATACCATACTCTAGAGATATAGATAGGCTTTAGCAATAAGTTGGTGAAAGAAACAGCTGTGAATTACTTTGTTCAAGTTACTAGATAGTGTACAAATTCTCGTCATTTTTTATATACTGTCACACTTTTGATCTTTGCTCTCTCTTGCACATGAAGATGAAAACAGAACTATTATGGCAAGGATCATGTAGCAGCATTTACCCTCCGCCGGAAGTCCCATGTTTAATTCCACTTTCCCCAATATCACTTATATCAAACCCGACATTGGGTTTTAGACTAATGAGTGCTGGCCTTACAACTATAAGGCCCATATTGCCTTCCAGTAGCCTATTACAAGGCCCATATTGGTCTGAGTTAGATTCAGAGCTTGTGACTCCCCATGAGCCATGGCCAAACTAAAACCAAGTATAGAAATTAATGGGAGCAAGGGAGTCAGATTCTCCGTGAGTGCCGTTTCAATCTTGGCAAGTGCATGATGAAACGCTCAAATGGATAAGCTTAGGAGTGGACCATAGGACCTTTTTTTTATTAGCCACTGCCTATTATTGGATGAGCAAAATCCACGGCCTCCCTAATCCCTTTATAAATATCTAAACATTGTCATCAAAATTATTAACTCAGAATCTTGTTGCTGTTGAGTTCGTTAGAAAAAAAGAAGAAGAAGAAGAATGGCTTTGAGGGCAACCGTAAGTCTAACCAAAACTCTTTTCCATTGTTTTGTATTATCATCTCTTTGATTTGATTTGATTGCCTTAATTACGTTTTATATCTTATTAATATGATGCTAATCATGGTGAAATGATGATTTAATATGGGTTTGTCTAGAACAATTGGAGATCTATGCTGGTTCGGTTGGGAGAGAACCGAGCTTTTGCAACCTCAACCGCTCCCAAGATGAAACCCATTGCAGAAAACGTTCATGCTAGTGAACCTACATGGTCTACCTTCGGCCGTATCAGGTTTAAACATTAATCATTAATTTGTACAAATTTTCTAATATAAGGTTAACTATACATGCGGATAACCAGTTCAGTGTATGTCGGTCGACCGGCACACGAATATATGTAAGTCAACCGGCACACGAATTGGTTATCGGTGGTTATGAAATTTTCTATATTTTGGATAATGTAAATTTGTATTTAAATTTAATCTTAAGAGGGGAATAGCAAAGTTTGTGAAGCATTATATAATTAAGAAATGTGGAAGTATGTAATATATGCAATATTCAATCCAAGCAGGAAATTTCTTACGAAGCCAGAGAATGCACCGGTTGCCATAGTGCTAGGGTTTATTACGGTGCCTATTATTATTGGGTTGCACAGCCTCAAACAGCAGCTGATGCATGCCCCTAGCGTCGTCTTCGATAAGAAGAAGAGAGAATCCATGTTCGAGGTCGAGGAACCAGATGTTGCCATGAGCTCATCCGACAAGTTTATCAACAAATCTTTCCTCAGGAAGGTGGGTCATATTCAGGATCCTGGCAACCCCACCATGCCTGATCCAGTCCAGCGTGACGCTTTCACTAGGTATATACATACATGCATACGTATATTAATACATGAAAAGGTTTTGGCAGATGGTACATTTTTTATATGCAATACTAATGAAGGTTGCTTGGTTGCAACTTGCAGGCCTCGCACTGCGGAGACGCTCAAGACTGTTGGAGTGGACCCAAGCCGTCGCTAAGAAGAAGTTTCAATCTCAACAATCGGATTGTGTCTCTAATTAAGATCCAAAAACATACTTTTTGTTCTCAATTTCTATGCATGGTCCCGTTAGAATATATGGTCACCACCATGGTGGTGTGACATTGTAAATAGAATTTTCGCCATCTGTTTTCCTCTTTTTTATTTTATGTTCATAGCTTTTTGTTTTAATGCACAAAATATGTCGTATGGGTTATGAGGCCCTCCCTCACTAGTACATTAATCAGAGGTGTGAGAGGCTCCCATTTTAGTTTGTTTTCTTGGTTTGTTTGTTCTAATAAAACAGAGACACCATACCCTAAATCATTATATTGGCATTTGCTATTGTATTTGAGAGCTCTAGCATAGCATGGTGTTTTACAAAATATACATAAATAAATAATGCAAATCCCTTGTGGCTTCCAAACCCCGCATTTGATGCAAAACAATCCAACCAAATTATATTAAGTATATGAATCTGCAGAATTCAACCTAATATTCCTGTTGAAATGTAAATTGTTTGTCGGTTTAATCCTTAGCTAGACAGGTGTAAGGTTTAGATTCAGTCATAGAGTATATAGGTCTCATATGTCCTAGTTTTATGCCAAGTGTACAGCTCATATTGCTGACACAAATGTATGGCTAAGATCACATTCTCTGCCTTGTAAAAGGAATGTTTCTGTTGGAATGAAATCAGTGTGAGAGTGTGTGTATTCTAATCATTACAGCTGAGTAAAAAACTCTCTCTCCCACACACACACAACGTCTCTCTCATTCTCTACAACATTTTTCATATTCTTCTTCCTCAAGAAAACTCTACTCTTCAAACTTCAACATGGTATCAGGAGCCCTGGTTCGAATCTGAATCTGGGTGTTGTGAAATCGAAGAAATCCAACTGAGATTATCTCTATCTCGTGGGTTTAGTCTCACATGGCTGGATCTGGAATGGGAGAGCTGTAACATCCCACATCGACCAACAGAGAGCGGGTGATGTGCCTTATATGTACATGCCCACCTCCATCTAGCACGAGGCTTTTTGGAAGCTCACTAGCTTCGGATTCCATGGGAACTCTGAAGTTAAGCGAGTTTGGGCTAGAGCAATCCCAGGATGGGTGACCCACTGGGAAGTTTCTCGGGAGTTCCCATAAACAAAACCATGAGGGCAAGGGGGCCTAAAGCGGACAATATAGTGCTACGGCGGAGCCGATTCGGGATGTGACAGAATGGTATCAGAGCCACTCTACCGTGTGGTGAGAGTGTGCTAATGAGGACGTTGGGCCCCTAAAGGGGGTGGATTGTAACATCCCACATCGACCAACGGAAAAGGGGTGATGTGCTTTATATGTACATGTCCACCTCCATCTAGCACGAGGCTTTTTGGGAGCTCACTGGCTTCGGATTCCATATGAACTCCGAAGTTAAGCGAGTTTGGGCTAGAGCAATCCTAGGATGGGTGACCCACTAGGAAGTTGCTCAGGAGTTCCAGAAACAAAACCATGAGGGCAGGGGGGGCCCAAAGCGGACAATATCGTGCTACGGCGGAGCCGATCCAGGATGTGACAGAATGGTATCAGAGCCACTCTACCTCCATCTAGCATGAGGCCTTTTGGGAACCACAGAAATGGAAGAAGTGGGATGCAAAGTCTGAGAACAATTCCAAGAAGGAAATTCAGACTGAAGGAGCAAAGGCTCCTTGCAAAACATGTGATAAGCTTCACTATGGTGCTTGTTGGTTCAAAGGCAAGCCTAAATGCTACAAATGTGATAGGTTTGGTCATATGGCAAAGGACTGCAGAGGCAAACCAGCTCAGACAGCTAACTATGCAACACATAAGGAGGAAGAAGGTACAATATTTTATGCTTGTCATTCTGCTACTATGGTAAAAAATAATGGTGTGTGGTATGCGGATAGTGCTTGTAGCAACCACATGACCTCACAAGAATCCCTTCTAATCAATGTTGATACAAAGGTCACTGCAAAAGTAAAAATGGGCACTAGAGACTTGTTGTAGGCAACTGGTAAAGGTACCTTGGTGATTGACACTAAATTTGGGCCTAGATACATTAAGGAAGTCAAGCTTGTGCCAAGGCTGGATGAAAATTTGCTCAGTGTTGGCCAAATGGTGGAACATGGATATTCTTTGTTTTTTTGGGTACTCAATGGTGGAGATATTTGATGACAGTTCAATGGAACACTTGGTTGCTAAAGTTCCAATGACAAGGAATAGATGTTTTCCCCTTCCACTGAAATATGGGAGCACTGTGGCTATGAAGTCAACTGTTGAAGACTCTACTTGGTGTTGGCATAGGAGGTTTGGTCATCTCAATTTGCAAAGTTTGAGATTGTTACAACAACAAGAAATGGTGTATGGACTGCCAGAAATTGGGAAAGCATAGAAAATTTGCCAAGGTTGTGCAATGGAGAAAGCACATAGAGAATCTTTTGGTAAATAAAGGGCTTGGAGAGCAAGTGAGCCAACTAGAACTCATCCACTCAGATGTTTGTGGACCAATGCAGACCACAACTATTGGTGGACACAGATACTTCTTGACTTTTATTGATGATTGCACTAGAATGTGTTGGGTGTATTTCATGCAATACAAGTCTGAAGTGTTTGGTATTTTCAAGAAGTTCAAGGCTATGGTGGAACTACAAAGTGGCTATAAGATCAAAAGGCCTAGAAGTCATAGAGGAGGAGAGTATACCTCATTTGAATTTTTGAAGTTTTGTGAAGATGTAGGCATGGAAAGGCAGCTCATTGTGGCTTACTCACCTTAGCAAAATGGGGTTGCTGAGAGGAAAAACATAACCATTGTTGAAATTTGCAAGGCAATGGTGAATGAGAAGAGACTTCCATTTAAGTTTTGGGGAGAAGCTGTAAATATTGCTGTCTACATTCAAAACATGTGTCCCACAAGAGCTTTGGATAATTCAACTCCATTTGAAGCTTCTAGTGGAAGAAAGCCAGGAGTTAAACATTTAAGGGTCTTTGCCTCTATATGTTTTTGTCATGTGCCTAGTCAACTGAGATCAAAACTGGAGGATTCAACTGTCAAGTGCATTTTTGTTGGCTATGGCAAATGTGAGAAAGGTTACAGAGTTTACAATCTGCATACTAATAAAATTGCAGTCTCTAGGAGTGTAATTTTTTATGAAAACTCTTTATGGAATTGGGAGAAGCAGAATGTGGAACAAGTCATCGTTCCTATGAGTTCTAAAGAGAATTCTAGTGTTACTGAAGAAGATTATGATGTCACAACTTCATTTGCACTAGAATCACAGATTGGAAATGACTCTGGGGTAGCTGAGATAACTTCAGTTTCTACTAATGCTGACTCACAAAGTGAATCACCAAGTTCTACTCATGTGAAACTAAGAGATATAACTAAGATATATGCTCGATGTAATATGAGCATCATTGAGCCAGAAAATTTTGAAGAAGCTTCAAGAGACAAAGCTTGGCAACAAGCAATGGAAGCTGAGATGGAAATGATTGAGAAGAATGAGACTTGGGAATTAGTTGACAGACCAAGTGAGAAACCTAATTGGTGTTATGTGGGTTTACAAAACCAAGTTGAATCTTGATGGCTCAATACAGAAGCACAAAGCTAGGTTGGTGGTCAAAGGCTATGCACAAAAGCCTAGAATTGATTTCAATGAGACTTTTGCTCTTGTGGCTAGACTTGATACTATTAGAACTCTCATAGCTTTGGCAGCTTAAAATGGTTGGAAGCTATACCAGTTAGATGTCAAGTCTGCATTTCTAAATGGTGTACTTAAGGAAGAGGTATATGTTATGGTTTTGTGGTTAAACACTATGAGGATAAGGTGTACAAATTGAAGAAGGCCTTGTATGGTTTAAAACAGGCACCAAAGGCCTAATATGAAGAAATTCATGCTTATCTCATTAGCTATGGGTATGTCAGAAGCACAAGTGAGGCCACATTGTACTGCAAGACTAAGGAAGATTTAGGAACAATAATGGTCTCAATTTATATTGATGACATAGTGTATACAGGCAGCAGTGAAGAACTCATTGCTGAATTCAAGTCAGAAATGATGAGAAGGTATGAAATAAATGATCTAGGACTTCTGTATCATTTTCTTGGAATAGCAGTGATTCAAACTGAACATAGAATTTTCATTAATCAAAAGAAATATGCATTGGCGCTACTGAATAAGTTTGGATTACATCAATGCAAGGTTGTTAGTATTCCTTTAGTGACAAGTGAGAAGTTGTGAAAGAATGATGGGAGTGAACCTGCAGATGAGAATTTGTACAGATAAATTGTGGGGAGTTTATTGAATCTAACAGCTACAAGGCCAGATATAATATTTGCAGCTAGTCTTTTGGCAAGGTTTATGCATTGTCCTACCAAGAAACATTATGGAACAGCCAAAAGCGTTTTAAGGTACATACAAGGGATAATAAACTATGGTATTGATTATCAGAAAGGAAATGAGGCTATACTAATCGGATATTGTGACAGTGACTAGAGTGGAAGTCAAGATGACATGAAGAGCACCTCAAGATATGTTTTTCTCTTTTGGAAATGGTGCATTTTCTTGGGCATCTGTCAAGCAACATAGTGTTGCTCTCTCCACAGCTGAATTAGTGCAAGTGAGGCAACTACTCAGGCTATATGGCTGAGGTTTGTGCGGGAGGATTTTGGAGAATTACAAACAAAAGCAACTCCATTTATGGTAGATAACACTTCTGCCATTGCAATAACCAGAAATCCTGTTTTTCATCAAAAGACCAAGCATATCAACCACAGATATCACTTCATCTGAGATGCTTTACAAGAAGGTGTAGTGGATTTGAGGTACTACAAGTTTGAAGAACAAGTGGCTGATATCTTCACAAAAGCTTTGCCTAAGGATCGGTTCAACTATTTGAGAGGTTTGGTAGGAGTTAAACCAGTTAACAATTTAGAAGGGAATGTTGAAATGTAAATTGTTTCTTGGTTTAATCCTTAGCTAGACAGGTGTAAGGCTTAGATTCAGTCATAGAGTATAGGTCTCATATGTCCTAGTTTTATGCCAAGTGTACAGCTCATATTGTTGTCACAAATGTATGACTGAGATCACATTCTCTGCCTTGTAAAAGGAATGTTTCTATTAGAATGAAATCAGTGTGAGAGTGTGTGTATTCTAATCATTACAACTGAGTAACAAACTCTCTCTACCACACACACACAACGTCTCTCTCATTCTCTATAACACTTTTCATATTCTTCTTCACTACTACAATAATGTAAAACAACGACATTAAATACACGACGCAAAATGAAAAAACCGTTGTGGTTTAAAAAATATTACAAACAA